CATCCATTCTTCATGATGGCAATGCACCGATGGTGGTTTGCTATGAATCTTGACAGTGAGATCTAGCATGGGACGGGTGTGTGTGTGTGTGTGGGGGGGGGGGCAATGCTGCTACCGGTCGCCCGGGGGTTGCTACAACTGTAGAGCCCGAGCAATGCTGCGACGGCGACCACGCGGTGCTACAACCGTAGAGCCGGGGCGCTGCAGCTGCGACTCGTGTTTTGGCTGGAATCGGTGACCGCAGGGAGCGCGCCAGGTCACCACGACGAGCACGACGATCACCATGGCGAATGCGACGGCGCTCGGTCGTCGGGCGGGGTGGGGTGGGGAGGGGTGGTGTGCGTTGCTGCGGCCGCGCACGAGAGAGCGAAGAAAGAAGCCATGGGGAAGGAAGAAGACGCTGTGGGGGCAAAGGGGCAAATCAAACGGCTGTCCGCAGCTGTATCGTGCGGCGGACGCCTATCATCGCCCTTAAGTCACGTGCCGCTTCATCTCTTCTCCTCCTCAGCCCGAGCGACGCACCTCTCGTTCCCCTGAACGCTTCTCCGCCGCCCCTCTTCTCCATCTGCTCAGCCCTATAGGCCCCAACTCTGCGTCCCATCCGGCTCTCCGGTCGCCCGTCTTCTCCATATTCTCAGCCCCAGCCGCCCCTACGCCCCAGCCCGACTTCCCCACCCGGCGCGCATCCGCGCCGCCTCCCCATTATCGCAGGTACCTCCCCCCACTTTCTCCCTCTTCCCTCCCTGCTCCCTTCCCATAGGGTTCAAATTGATGGATTTCTATTTCGGTACTAGTTTGGTTCAGCTTGCTTCTGGGCATATGGTGTGATTTGTGAATTCTTGCCCGAAAGATGATTTTGATAGTCCAAGAACCAAGATTTAGTGTGATTTCACAGGGTGTGTTCTGAATTTTTCTGACACTATAACCTTGGATGGATCATGGAGGGAGCTTTGTACTAGAGTAAAATGTCCAATATACACCCGAAGTGCATACCAATAAGCGTGAGCGCATGGTCGGATTGCGCCGTGCCTATGAGCTATGACGTGCCGCTTCTCGGGGCGCAAGAGGTCACGCAGCCGGGGAAGGCGCCGCAAGACGACGGCAATGCCAGCTTCGTGCGAACTTGCCTCAACGGCACCAACGGCTTGGCAGGTGTGCATGCAAAATTTTGTTCGCACAGACATGGTGTTAATTCTCTTGGTTTCGCCTTTGCGCCTTGTTTTGATTCACACCGTGCGACACCATGGCTTAGGTGTTGGGCTGTTGTCGATGCCGTACGCGCTCGCGGAGGGGGGATGGCTGAGCCTGGCACTGCTCGCCGCCGTGGCCGCCACCTGCTGGTATACGGGCCTCCTCCTCGGGCGTTGCATGGCCGCTGACCAGGCAATCCGGACGTACCCGGACATCGGTGAGCGCGCCTTCGGCCGCCGGGGACGCCTGGTCGTGTCCGCCTTCATGTACGCCGAGCTCTACCTCGTCGCCATTGGCTTCCTCATCCTCGACGGCGACAACCTCGACAAGCTTTTCCCCGGCGCCAGCGTTCGCATGGGGCCCGTGTCGCTTGCGGGGAAACAGCTGTTCGTCGTGCTGGTGGCGCTCATGGTCGCGCCCACGACGTGGCTGCGCAGTCTGGGCGTGCTCGCCTACGTCTCCGCAGCAGGCGTGTTCGCGTCCGTCGCCATCGTCCTCAGCGTGCTCTGGGCCGCGGCCGTCGACGGCGTCGGGTTCTCTGGGCGAGGCACTACTACGCCATTGCGGCTCGCCGGCCTCCCCACCGCTCTCGGCCTCTACACCTTCTGCTACTGCACCCACGCGGTGTTCCCGACGCTGTACACATCCATGAAGCAAAAATCTCAGTTCCCAAAGGTAACAGTAATTTAGTATTCCCGCGCTTCATCGGTCTGCTGCTGAAGATGGATGGTCATAATCCTAACACATGCCAAACGTAAATACTTACTAACTTCTCTTCCTAATTAACCAGATGCTAGCGATATGCTTCGTGCTGTGCACGCTCAACTACGGCTCAATGGCCGTGCTGGGGTACCTCATGTACGGCGACAGCGTGCAGTCCCAGGTGACGCTCAACCTACCGGCGGCGAGGCTCAGCTCCAAGATCGCCATATACACGACGGTGGTAATGCCTTTCTCAAAGTATGCGCTGGTGGTCACGCCGATCGCGGTGGCCATCGAGGAGAGGTTTCGTGGCGTGGTAGGCGAGGGAGCCGTGGCCTCCGTGGCGGTGAGGACGCTGCTGGTGCTGAGCACGGTGGTAGTCGCGATCGCGTTGCCCTTCTTCGGGTACCTCATGGCGCTGGTGGGTTCCCTGCTCAGCGTGTGCGCGTGCATGCTGCTGCCGTGCCTCTGCTATGTCAGGATCTTCGGAGCCACATCTCTTACGGCTTCGGAGACTGCGGCGATCATCGGAATACTGATGTTGGGCTTGCTGGTGGCTATAACAGGGACGTACTCTTCTCTTGTGCAAATTATCCACGAGTTGCAACTGGGAGTGTAAAATGTCCAATTCTTTTCTTTAGCTTATCTTTTAGATGAACTGGTTAAATGATATATGCAATTTAATAGTATCAGCGAGGCCTCCATATGCTCTGAATCGTGTTTCTTGTTTCATTAAAAAAAATTCATAAGAAGAAATGAACTAGTCACATTGGTATTATCCTCAAAGAAGAAGAAAATAGATATAATGATAACTAAATCAAAATTAAAATAATAAATTTTTATATGAAACAATGAATTAGCGGCATTGGTATTTCACTTTAAGAAGAAAGAAAAGAAAACTTGCACACAACTTGACACTGAAATTGCACTTTTTTAAGTATACAAAAAAATAATCATAGAATAGTATAATTTTCGCATACATTTTATAGTATTTGTGCGTATATATTTTAGATTCACCCAACACCCCAAATACACACACACATAAAACCCAACTAATAAAGAAAAAGAAAAAGAAAAGCAAAAGCAAATAAGAACATAAAAATAAGGGTATGTCTAGGACACATCTAGATGTGACATAGTTATGTCACATCTAAGCTGATGTTCATTCTGTTTGTGGTTTATTTTTTTGTCCTAGTTTTTTTTCCTTCCTGCTGCATTATTTATTTGTGGGAGCTTAGATGTGATATTCTTAAAAAACATCTAGATGTGAATTAGACAACTGTAAAAATAAAAAGGAACAAAGGGGGAGAGTGGAGGAGGGCTGGGGCACACACATGTAATGGACTTTAGACCATTTAGG